ACTCCTACACACACACACACAGACTCCTACACACACACACAGACTCCTAAATACACACACACTGCTGAGTACACACACACACATACTGCTGAGTACACACACACACACAGACTGCTGAGTACACACACACACACAGACTGCTGAGTGTACACACACACACAGACTGCTGAGTGTACACACACACACAGACTGCTGAGTGTACACATACACACAAACTGCTGAGTGTACACACACACTGCATTGAGGGGTACAATGTATGTGTTTGCATGTGTGTGGGGTGATGTGTGTGTAGGGTGATGTGTGTGTGGGTTGATGTGTGTGTGTGGGTGGGGTGATGTGTGGGTTGGTTGATGTGTATGTGTGTGTGGGGGTGTGTGTGTGTGTGTGTGGGGTCATGTGTGTGTGTCTTTGTGTGGGGTGATATGTGTAGGGCAGGGGTGCTGTGTGTATGTCGTCCCCCTTCTCCCCCCCCACAGTGTTTTCTTTCCCCCCATCTCTCCCTCATTTTTTTCTCCCATCCCACACTCAGTTTTCCCCCATCTCTCCTTCAGTTCCCCCCATCTCCTCTTAAGCTTCCATCTCCTTCAGTTCCCCCATCTCCTTCAGTCCCCCCCATCTCCTTCAGTCCCCCCATCTCTCTCTCCCACTCAGTTCCCCCCATATATCTCTCCCTCAGTTTTCATCCCCCTGCCTCCTTGAGCTCCTACCTTGTAGCGTGGCCGAGCGCACCACGGAGCTCAGTTTCCTGTACCCGGCTGACAGGAAGTGCTCTCTGTGAGCACTTCATTTCTGTCCGCCCGGGTACACGAAACATACCGTGGCGCGCTCGGCCACACTAGACAGAGTGCATTGCAGGAGGGAGCGCTATGCGCTCACCTCCTGCCGGTCACTCCGGCTCTGCGCCCGCCGGGCCGGTGCGCCCTAAGGCAGCCACTTGTGCCGCCTTATGGATGCGCCGGCGGAGCGCACCCTCCCTCCGGCGACCTATGACCGCGTGCCCACAGAGGGGGCTCGGCGTGCCACCTGTGGCACGCGTGCCATAGGTTCGCCATCACTGGTCTAGGGGTTCACATACTTTTTCCACCTGCACTGTGAATGTTTACATGGTGTGTTCAATAAAAACATGGCAACATTTCATTCTTTGCGTGTTATTAGTTTAAGCAGACTGTGATTGTCTATTGTTGTGACTTAGATGATGATCAGATCACATTTTATGACCAATTTGTGCAGAAATCCATATCATTCCAAAGGGTTCACATACTTTTTCTTGCAACTGTAAGTATTAATCAGTGTGCATGTATTGGTGTATGTATTAGGCAGTGTGCATTTATGGGTCTATGTATTAGGCAATATATGTGCAGGAGCAGAGCAAGCAGAGAGGAAGCAGAACAAGCAGACAGAGAGGAGCAGGTATTGTGGCCAGCGGCCTGTGCCACATCTAGGTTCTGATAAAAGTGAATTAATTGCCGTGATTACAGTGAGTGCTGTGAGTGTGACAAAGGTTACTTACCCCTGATTGCAGACAGTGAGTGGTATGACAGTGGCACTTACTCCTGATTGCAGACAGTGAGTGGTATGACAGTGGCACTTACCCCTGATTGCAGACAGTGAGTGGTATGACAGCGGCACTTACCCCTGATTGCAGACAGTGAGTGGTATGACAGTGACACTTACCCCTGATTGCAGACAGTGAGTGGTATGACAGTGACACTTACCCTTGATTGCAGCCAGTGAGTGGTATGACAGTGGCACTTACTCCTGATTGCAGACAGTGAGTGGTATGACAGCGACACTTACCCCTGATTGCAGCCAGTGAGTGGTGTGACTGTGACACTTATTCCTGATTGCAGACAGTGAGTGGTGTGACAGTGACACTTACTCCTGATTGCAGACAGTGAGTGGTCGAGGTGGTACTTACTGAATGCAGACGGTGAGGTGGTATGATAGTGGTACTACTGATTGCAGACGGTAGGTGGTATGACAGTGGCACTTACCCTGAATGCAGGCAGTGAGGTGGTATGACAGCGGCACTGATTGCAGACAGTGGTGGTATGACGGTGAGCTTACCTGAATTTTGAACAGTGAGTGGTATGACAGTGGCACTTACCCCTGATTACGAACCAGTGAGTGTGGTATGACGGTGGCACTTACTCCTGAATGCACGAACCAGTGAGTGGTATGACAGTGGCACTTTACCTGATTGCAGACAGTGAGTGGTATGACAGTGAGCACTTACCCTGATTGCAGACGGTGAGGTGGTATGACAGTGGCACTTACTCCTGATTGCAGACAGTGAGTGGTATGACAGTGGCACTTACCCCTGATTGCAGACAGTGAGTGGTATGACAGTGGCACTTACCCCTGATTGCAGACAGTGAGTGGTATGACAGTGGCACTTACTCCTGATTGCAGACAGTGAGTGGTATGACAGTGGCACTTACCCCTGATTGCAGACAGTGAGTGGTATGACAGTGACACTTACTCCTGATTGCAGACAGTGAGTGGTATGACTGTGGCACTTACCCCTGATTGCAGACAGTGAGTGGTATGACAGTGGCACTTACTCCTGATTGCAGACAGTGAGTGGTATGACAGTGGTACTTACCCCTGATTGCAGACAGTGAGTGGTATGACAGCGGCACTTACCCCTGATTGCAGACAGTGAGTGGTATGACAGTGGCACTTACCCCTGATTGCAGACAGTGAGTGGTATGACAGCGGCACTTACTCCTGATTGCAGACAGTGAGTGGTATGACAGTGGCACTTACTCCTGATTGCAGACAGTGAGTGGTATGACAGTGGCACTTACCCCTGATTGCAGACAGTGAGTGGTGTGACAGTGGCACTTACCCCTGATTGCAGACAGTGAGTGGTATGACAGTGGCACTTACTCCTGATTGCAGACAGTGAGTGGTATGACAGTGACACTTACCCCTGATTGCAGACAGTGAGTGGTATGACAGTGACACTTACCCCTGATTGCAGACAGTGAGTGGTATGACAGTGGTACTTACCCCTGATTGCAGACAGTGAGTGGTATGACAGTGGCACTTACCCCTGAATGCAGTCAGTGAGTGGTATGACAGTGGCACTTACTCCTGAGAGTGCAGACAGTGAGTGGTATGACAGTGGCACTTACTCCTGATTGCAGACAGTGAGTGGTATGACAGTGACACTTACTCCTGATTGCAGACAGTGAGTGGTATGACAGTGGCACTTACTCCTGATTGCAGACAGTGAGTGGTATGACAGTGGCACTTACTCCTGATTGCAGACAGTGAGTGGTATGACAGTGGCACTTACTCCTGATTGCAGACAGTGAGTGGTATGACAGTGGTACTTACCCCTGATTGCAGACAGTGAGTGGTATAACAGTGGCACTTACCCCTGATTGCAGACAGTGAGTGGTATGACAGTGGTACTTACTCCTTATTGCAGACAGTGAGTGGGATGACAGTGGCACTTACTCCTGATTGCAGACAG